CCCCCCCCCCCCCCCCCCCCCCCCCCCCCCCCCCCCCCCCCCCCCCCCCCCCCCCCCCCCCCCCCCCCCCCCCCCAGCACAGCGCGGATTATGCAGATCATGATGAAAAGACCTTGAACTGGAGGAACGAGAAACCGCGTCTTTCTCCTGGTCTTCTATTCTAAAACCACCCCTGGCACTGGATAAGGACATGGGAGGATGTGCCGTTTATCCAGCTGCATGTGGCATGGACGTGTTTTAATGTTCTTGTTAGCTATTCAGCCACTTAAAAACCAATAGATAGAGTGGAAAGCTGTTTTGATATCCCCCACATCTGTGGCCATGCTCTGTTGTCTTGAATATTTCAGAATCAATCACCGCGACTGTAGGGCCCTCCTTGTCGTGATCCCGTGAACTGACCCCACTTTGACAGACTAGGTACCATCCATCGAATCTCAGCATTTCACCTCAACAACTCCGCATGAATCATAGTCAATTGTATCATTCTTGACGCCCTACATTATACCGAAAAATGGATGATAGATGCCATCGAGTCACGATGAGCAGCCACGATGAACAAGCCAAGAGTGATCGTTCCTCTGAGGATACTTACTACAACCTCGGGTCTTTCCATCGACCCGTGAGCACTACAAACCCTCAAGCTCAAACTTGGTTTGACCGTGGACTGATCTGGACATATGCATTCAACCATGAAGAGGCAGTGAATTGTTTTCAGCGGGCTATCGCGCATGACCCGAAATGTACCATGGCATATTGGGGCCTGGCGTACGCGTTGGGCCCAAACTACAATAAGCCTTGGCAGTTCTTTGATCAGAAGGAACTAGAGGTGACTGTTCAGCGCACTCATCGAGCAGTTTCCGACGCTGGTAAAGCAGCAGCCACGGCGACTCCCGTGGAGTCGGCGCTCGTAAGCGCTCTCCAGCATCGATACCCGCAAATGCATCCGACGGCAGACTGTTCGTCATGGAATCAAGGCTATGCAAATGCCATGGCCTCGGTTTATCAGCTATTTCCTGATGACTTGGACGTTGCAACGCTGTATGCTGATGCATTGATGAACCTTACGCCATGGGAGCTGTGGGATTTGAAGACTGGACAGCCGGCCGCCAACGCCCGCACCAATGAGATCAAGACGGTACTGGATCGAGCATTGGCACAAGACGGAGCTCTCCGCCATCCGGGCCTTCTACACATGTACATCCATTTGATGGAGATGTCGGGCGCTCCCGAGACGGCGCTCACAGCCGCAGACTACTTGCGTGGATTGGTACCTGATGCTGGCCATCTCAACCACATGCCCACTCACCTGGACATCCTGTGCGGTGACTATCGACGGGCCATCGCGTCCAACTCCGAAGCAATCCAGGCAGATGAACGGTTCCTGGCGCGGGCAGGGCCCGTGAACTTCTACACCCTGTACAGATCACATAACTACCATTTTCGCATCTATGCCGCCATGTTTGCCGGCCAGTCTAGGGTTGCACTGGAAACGGCGGCAGAGTTGGAATCATCGATCCCCGAAGAATTACTTCGTGTCGAATCCCCGCTAATGGCTGACTGGCTCGAGGGTTTCTTGGCAATGAAGGTGCATGTGCTGATCCGGTTCGGAAGGTGGCAAGACATTCTTGACCTGCGACTTCCACATGACGCGGACCTTTATTGCGTGACGACGGCGATGATACATTATGCCAAAGGCGTCGCACTAGCAGCGACAGGGAAGGTGGACGAGGCAGATGCTACACGGAGTATCTTCCGACAGGCGAAGAACCGAGTAGGAGAGAGCCGGATGCTGTTCAACAATCGTTGCGTGGATATACTTGCGGTCGCGGATGCCATGTTAGATGGGGAGTTGGAGTACCGTCGCGGGAACTTTGATACCGCTTATGAACATCTACGAAGATCCATTGCTTTGGAAGATAGTCTGCCCTATGACGAGCCTTGGGGGTGGATGCAGCCGACTCGACACGCGTACGGCGCTCTACTCCTTGAGCAGGGGCATGTGGAACAAGCGGCCGCGGTATATGGAGCGGACCTAGGCATGGACGATACTCTCCCACGCCCATTGCAACACCCGAACAATGTATGGGCATTGCATGGCTACCACGAGTGTTTGAGAAAGCTTGGGCGAACAGCCGAAGCACGCATTGTGAAACAACAGTTGAAACTGGCGGCTGCGACGGCTGATATTCCGATTCAATCGTCATGTTTCTGTCGCCGGAGCATTGATACAGCGTAGTCTGGTATATCTGAACTTTTCTCTCTTGTTTTTGTTTCATTGTATCTTTTGAATGATGAGCAACAAATGAGCGCATGGTCTGATTTTGAACGTAATCTTTTAGGTTTTGCCGTTGACGTGCATAAGACAATGTACATATGGCTGGAAGCATGCACGCACAGCGCAAGGAAGGAACCACCTGCAGTCGAGTGTCCAACCGAATTTGATTGTCTTGCTTCGTTCGACCTGGCATCACGTGTAGCGCGACCACCCCCCAAGGCGTCTGTCGTCAGAAACAACCGTGCCGGTTAAACATCCCATCTCTCGACTCCAACCTCAACTCGGACTCCGAGAAGATCCCGGCTCGCTGTATAAGATCGGTGTCTTGGGGACGGGAAATGAAACCCAAAATCGGATGGCGCGGAAAAAAGATCCTAGAGTAGCCTACCATACTAGGTGCGTTGCCATGCGTTGAAACCTAGCCACTACTTTAGAAGGCTTGAGACCATCTTGCTGATTCGGGAAAGAGTCCCAATCCTTCAGTGCTCGCCCTGACGGGATTTCGTCACTCTCATAAACCTATATCTGCTCATAATCGGGATTAGAAAATTTGTACCCCGTACCTACAATTGCAAGTGAAGCGTTCCACATGTGGAATGAATACAATCCTCCCCATAGATTATGGAGTCGACAATTTATCTTCCCCGCAGTTAAAAGTGCCAAAAAGACACAATGTTGAAACTTGAACAGTTGAACCCCTCCCAAAGTCCACTTCATTGACAAACGGAGTCGCCGTGAGAAAGATGTGTTGAAATCATTTGCAGAGGGCCGACACGAGCTCCACCGCGATGGCAAAATGCATCCACTTCTTCACCCGAAGAAGCAGGCCTGCCGACCGCAGGATCCACCGGGCTGCAAACTTTGGCTGCAGCGTCAACTTTAGGGGGCAGCGAACTTTTCACGATAATTGATGAAACGACAGAGATAACCGAGGAAGGATTTTGAATGTCTAGGCAGTGTGGTCGAATCGATCAATCCTTGACTCCAAGCCCAAGGCTTGCTTCCTCGCGACTATTCCCCGAGAGGCACGGAGGGCCTTGTGCGTCGATCTACTGCATGAACGCTGTCCGCCATCGTTATATGATGTCATAGCCAATTCTTTACCTTGTGTATTTGCTAGCGGATAATAATGTGCATGCGCTGTTCCCGTACGGATAACACAATGGTGATAGCCGATCAGGGACCGGGACAATAGTTCCGGAGCTGCTGAACGCTGACCACCTCGGTCCGGACCCTGTCAGAGTGGCAGAAAGATATTGTGTTTGTCTCGAAGAGACGGGATTAAGTGAATTATGCTCGGTACTAATGATCTGATGTGGATTGACTGGAATGATTGGACAATTCCACGGCTACTGGATTCGGCATGAACCACGGCCTGGATTTGCTCCCACGGCTCTCCTCCGAGTTTGCCGCCGGGCTGGTTAGAAAAACCTAAGCTAAAAACCCCCACGAGAGTCGAGACAATGAATCGTCCCCCGTTCGTTTTCGAGGTACATATGGTGGAGAAGGGGAGCCAGCTAAAGGCTGTACTATGAGAGATGATATCCTCGTACCCCTCTCTCCAACAAGAAGTCAGATCAGGATCGTCGGTTGTCCGCACACGAAGATTCTATCTGATTATCAGTACTGAGTAGTACTGTACTAGAGCTTTGGCTCCCCCAATGACGGCCACACCTGTGGCAACACGCTCGGGTAAATTAGGTTCCTTGTCACCTCTTGCGTATTGAGCAGTTGAGGGTGGAATACGGTCGAGCAGATCCGCTGCAGGTCATTTCATCGAAGAGGATTGGCCATGGAAGCGGGCCGCCGGTCTTTGTTCTGCAGCAGATAGCGATCCTTCGTTCAACGTGCGCCGCAGTGGATCATAGATGGCCTTGAGTTCAGCACGGGTGACAATATGATCACGATTGCCCTCTATCCCCCAATGGCAGGCAGTTAGAGAACAGCCACGGATTGAAGCAGGTCAAGCGATCTCTAATTAAGAATCTCAAGCCTTCCGCCGAGTCCGCCCACATGGTGGCTTGGAGTGTTCCATTGGCCCGCTTTTTTTCATTCCTTTCTTCGAATGATCGGCCCCGATGATGGAATGGCTTTTCTGTTTAGGGCTGTGGAGGAGGGCTAGAGATGGAAGAACCCGAAGAATTTTCTGTGCCGGTGATTAAAGTTATCGGTTTGGGTGGCCATATTAAAGAATGAGGCCCACCTCTCTTCGAAGGGTACACTTTTCCTTCCTCACTGGAACTTCTCAGGAATTTCTCAATCCCATTGTCTCCCAACCATTACGGGCAGATGGTCTCGTGGTCACGTCATGTCTCCCCTACTTCCCAATGATATCATTCTTCTGGCTGGGGAGTTCTTGGAAGACCACCAAGATCGCTATAACCTTGTCTTTGTATCCCGTCGCTTTCACGACCTCCTCTTGCGCCTAGTATATCGAAAGGCCACTTTGAAGAATGCCTCGCAGACTCGTTCTTTCCTGAATGCTCTCTTGCGCCGCCCTGAGCTGGCTCGGGCGGTGCGAAGCCTGCATTTCGATGACTGGAAGCAAGCATCTTCTGGCTCTTCTCCATCATCGTCGCAGGACATAGACTGGACGCCATTCAAGAACTGGGCTCGGATGATCAGCCAGTCAGAGGAAGAATACTTACAATGGGAGAAGGATTTGCTTGACGACGTAGAGGAGGCGTGGATTGCTCTTGCTCTGCCGCTGGCGAGCAACCTACGAGAACTCCGATTGGTGTACCCTCAGGAGAGCGTGTATCTGGACCGCACGCTGCAAAGAGCTCTGAAGGGGGAGAAGCCCTTCGATGAGCAGCCTGCCTTCCGTGTTTTACAGGAGGTGTCCCTCGGTCACATGGAAAATGAGGCAGACACTCCGGGTAGCTTCGCACCGTCTCAGCTTTTCCCATTCTTCCAGTTACCATCAATGCGAGCGTTATCCGCAGATTCAGTAGTCGAGTCCAGCTCGTCGTCCAACGACGAGGCCGAACAGACGACGGAAACGCCTCAGCTCGGACCCTCAAAAATATCTGAGATTACGCTCCACTCGAGCAATGGTTCCAGGGGCATGGAAGGACTGATCGCTTCCTGCCCGTCGCTTCGGTCGTTTAAATATCAGCACTCTGACTCCCATCTGCTTTCCGAGGGCTACCGGCCTTCGGAATTTGCCCGGTCGCTGACGGCTAGTAAAGGCAGTCTCGAGACATTGTGGCTGGATAGCTTCGGAACCCATCTGCCCTTCACCATCGCCGGAGCCAACGAGACGCACGACGAGTGGTTTGGGACGTTGACGGATTTTACGGCGTTGAAGGACATCCGAATTCGCCTCCCCAACCTTCTGGACGTGCGCTACCAGTTCGAGCCCTCGACCACGCTACCCGATGTTCTCCCGCCGTCGGTGCAAACGTTGTCGGTGGAGGGATGCAAGGAGATGTCGCTGAGAATGCTGATTGGGCAGCTGAAAATGGTGCTCGGTCAGCGCGAAAAGCGATTTGTCGGCCTGCGTCGCTTGGACATTGAAGGGTTCTTCCATGACGAGGAAGACGAGGATGCTTCTGGCTACGATGCCCAGGCGGCTAACGCCGGGGGCGAGAAGGTCATCAAATCTCGCGTCTATGAGATGACCGAGGCGTTGCACACCTCGTGCGCTGAGGCTGGCATCGAACTGCACCTGCGTGACCGAGACTGCCCTTCGACGATGACCTAACATGATTATGAGATACGAACTTTGTTTTGGCAGGGTGACATAGACTTGTGTCTTCTTTATATGGTTTTTCTTTGTTTGTTGAGTTGTATAATACCCTCATAGACACTATAGACAGTGGAACTAACAAGTTTCAACTTCTGCGTGATGATTTGTTTATGGATTTTGCCCAGCTCATAAGGTTGTATTGACTTTTTGATTGACAGTTGGCATGGCCGATACTTATAGACTTGAATTTTAATCTATGCATGCATTGAATGATCAGCGGTTCTACATTTCATCTCTCCTACGTGGACTCCATGTGCCCGAGGCAAGGGGCCAGGATGATCCAACTCTCATTCACTATAGTTCAGGACTATAGACCAACCATGGTCAGGCCGAGAGGATTAGACTAGCGGTTCCAGCCGACCACAAATGCTGGAGAAAGGAAGTGCTCGAGGCTCCTGGACTCACGCGATCTTGCTTTCTCCGCATTTCACGTCGTATTCCATCGGGTCGCTGACGTGGTTAGTTTCTTGTCATCTGGCATCTCCTCAGAGTCTATCTAATTAATCTTATTCTCTCATTTCCGGATTTATTGTCCTTGTTCCATCTCTGTTCTCTCATCCTTCATTCTCTCTCTCTCTCTTTTCCTTCCTTCCCCCATTCTTTCTCGCTGTTCCTTGTCTGTCCTCTTATCGATCAACCGCAGCAGCTAACACGATGCAGTACATCCCCGGGGTGGACGATCGCGACCGTGAGGAAAAGCACGAGAAGCATGAACACGCAGAGAACGTGCCCGCCTATGGAGATCCTTTTGGTAATGAGGAGTTTGCAGAGGTCCAATATCGCACCTTGCAATGGTGGTGAGTCCTGCCTTGTCCTACTCTGCCCTGTACACTGTAACACATCCCATCTGGTGTTTAACTTTACTGACCTGATTTCTTTTGTCAAGGCAATGCGCCATGAGTAAGCCCCCTCCCAACATCACGAAAGACGACGAAGAAATTCAAGAACACCAGCCCTGTCTCTAATCCACTATCAATAGTCATGATTGCCGAGACGATCTCCCTGGGAATCTTATCGCTGCCGTCTGCCGTGGCGGCGCTCGGCCTGGCACCGTGAGTGGCTCTCCATGCCTATCCCAAGACTTTTGGCGCCTTGGGGGCTTCGCTGTGGCTGATTTAAGCCTTTTCCTCTTCCCGTCCCTGTACCTCACCCCGCATTCCTGGGTCGTGACACCTTTGTGTTAATCCTGATGTTTTCCTATTAACAGGGCTGTCGTACTCATCGTCGGCCTCGGCGTCGTCGCCACCTATACCGGCTACGTGATCGGACAGTTCAAGCTGCGCTATCCCCATGTACACAGCATGGCGGACGCCGGCGAGGTCATGCTCGGTGGCTTCGGGCGCGAGCTTCTCGGCACCGCACAGCTGCTCTTCCTGGTCTTTATCATGGGCAGCCATCTCCTGACATTCATTGTCATGATGAACACCGTCACCGACCACGGCACCTGCTCGATCGTCTTTGGGGTCGTGGGCCTGGTCTTGTCGTTTGTGTTGACGTTACCGAGGACGTTGAAGAAGGTGTCGTGGATGTCGATCTCGTGTGCGTACAACTAGATCCTGCTTTTTTCTTGCTTTCGCATTTTTCTTCTCAGTTTTTCTTCGGGGCTCAGAGTTGATATTCTAGAACGACCAGCATTCATCAGTATCGTCGCCGCGGTGTTGATCACCATGATCGCAATCGGCATCCAACGCCCTGGCGATGGTCAGATCGATACCACCGTGGAAACGAGCCTGTATAAGGGCTTCCTCGCCGTGACAAACCTTGTCTTTGCTTATGGTAGGCTGGCTTAACACTGTCCTTCCCTTCCATTCCCCATAACGGTTACCTCGTCAATGAAAACAGTAGTGCAACGATTAACTCGAATATAGCCGGCCATGTGGCATTCTTCGGCTTCATCTCGGAGATGAAGACTCCCACAGATTACCCAAAGACGCTGTACATGCTCCAAAGCATCGACACAAGCATGTACGTCGTCACCGCTGTAGTGATCTATTACTACGGCGGGAAGGACGTGAAATCGCCCGCGCTGGGATCGACGAGTCCCCTGATCGCGAAGATTGCCTATGGAATTGCCATTCCGACCGTATGTTCAGAACGGATTCCACATTCCGCATTCTACTGCTATAGCAATCCAGACATAGTCCGATATAGCCAAGCTAACTAACTCACCATAGATCGTGATCGCGGGTGTGATCAACGGACACGTCGCGTGCAAGTACATCTACGTGCGCCTCTTTCGGGGAACAGACCGCATGCATAAACGCAATTTCCTCTCCCTAGGGACCTGGGTGCTGATCGGGCTGGTACTCTGGACGATAGCATGGATCATCGCCGAGGCGATTCCCGTGTTCAATAATCTGCTGAGTCTGATTGTAAGGGATACACACTCTCTGTGGCTATCACGGATGCTAATAAGGGTATTCTCCAGACGGCGCTTTTCGCAAGTTGGTTCACATGTGAGATCTCCACCTCCGCCTCCGCCTCCATTTCCTACTTATCTATATATGCGAGAAACTAATATCAAAATAGATGGAATGAGCGGCATCTTCTGGTTGTTCCTGAACTGGGGACGATACACTTCATCGAAGCAGAAGATCTTCCTGACCGTTATTAATGCCATTATCGTCGGAATTGGGGGTTGTCTGGTAAGTCCACCCATCAACCTAGCGCTTTTCTTTTTGCTGCTTATTCGAATGGGACACTGATGACATACAGTGTGGATTGGGCTTGTATGTCTCTGGCAAGGCGCTCCATGATAACCCCAGCAGTGCTAGCTTTTCATGTGCCAATAATGCATGATTTTAGAGGAAGCTCGAGACACGGGGATTATAGTAAGTGTTGTATGTGTCTAGACAATTGTCGCCATGTAAGGGTATTTTTTACGACTTCAATTCCCCAATACATCATACATTACTTAAGATCTGCCATGCAAAAAAAGAGATATATTACTTAGATACCTAGTAACTGCGCCAGACGAATGAACGAATGATCCACCGGAACTATTAGTTCCAATCATCGCTGGATGGGAGCTAGATTCACCTATGCCGGCAACGTATGATGATGTAGAACCCCGGAAACAGAGTTTAGTAAGCGGTTCATATGACTAACTAACTAGTAAGACTGCTATTACGAACTATAGAAAGGGAATCTACTGACTCAATTCCACAGACTAGCTAGTGCCGTTTGTAGGCGACGTCATGATATCAACATGACGTTTTCCCCGCATGGCGTAACATTTGGTCGGGAAATAAATACACCATTGCTGGCACGTGGGGACCGGGCAGTTACTTGTCAATTGCTTTTGTAAATAGATAGAAGTCATGTTAGAAGAGAAAGGCACGCAGACCGACAGCCCCACGATCGGCGACTCTCGCAGTTCTGCCGATTCGGCATCTGAACCGGAGAAGCAGCGTCTGTACCGGCAGGAACGGAATAGCCACGATGCTGATCCCAATATCGTTGAATGGGATGGACCCGATGATCCGGTAAGCTTGATTGATCTTAATCTATTCTGCGGCGAGATCTTTATGGTTGTTTATCTTCATGCTCACACGCTTGACAGGAACATCCACGGAATTTTCGAACGGCTCGCAAATGGGTCATTACACTCACCTTGGGGTTTATGACCTTTTGTGTCACTTTTGCCTCGTCGGTGTTCAGCACGGCTGCTGTCGTGACGGCCCAGAAATTCGGGGTATCCGAGGAAGTGATGGTGCTGGGCACGAGTCTGTTCGTGCTGGGCTTTAGTTTCGGTCCGTTGATCTTTGGACCATTGTCGGAGCTATACGGACGGAAGAAGCCACTGTTCGTGGGATTTTTTATCTTCGCCATCTTTCAGATCCCCGTGGCTGTGGCGCAGAATTTACAGACGATCTTTGTCTGTCGATTCTTTGGGGGTCTATTTGCGAGTGCGCCGTTAGCTATTGTATGTGTGCAACATTCGGTACGCAATCGACCTGGTTACTGACGAGCGACCGCAGGTTGGAGGAGCCCTGGCTGACATGTTTGGCCCCGTTGACCGTGGAATCGCCGTCGCCATCTTCGCTGCTAGCACGTTCATTGGGCCTGTCGCTGGTCCTATTGTGGGCGGGTTCATCACAATGTCTCATCTTGGGTGGCGTTGGACCGAGTATATCACAGCTATAATGGCATTTTTCTTCGGCACGATCGGCTTGCTAATCGTGCCCGAGACCTTCGAGCCCGTTCTTCTCCGGCGACGGGCGCAGGTGTTGCGACGTACGACGGGCAACTGGGCTCTGCATGCTCGTTCGGAGGAGACTATTGTCATGGACCCGAAGCATATTGCGCATAACTATCTCCTGCGACCGGTGCAGATGCTGATCCTTGAGCCCATTCTGTCGCTGATCACCTTGTATATGGGCTTTATTTATGGGTTCTTGTACTTGTGCTTCGAGGCTTACCCGGTGGCATTCCAAGAGGACCGGGGATGGAACGAAGGGGTGGGGGCACTGCCCTTTATTGCGATCACCTGCGGCGTGTTAGTAGGCTGCGCCTTCATAATCGTGTTCACGAAGCTGCGGTTCCAGCGGGTGATGGAACGCACTGGAGCAGTGGTCCCCGAAGAACGACTCGTTCCCATGATGGTGGGTGGCGTGTTATTGCCTGCAGGCATGTTCTGGTTTGGGTGGACGTCCAGCCCAAATATCACTTGGGTGCCACAGGTAATCTCAGGGGGATTCTTGGGAGCAGGGGTGCTGTTGATCTTCTTGCAGGTATGTGGCCATCTCTTGATATGTATGGCGCTGTCCCTCCCGCTAACTCCACCAGGGCTTGAATTATATCATTGATTGCTATGCCACCAACTCCAATTCTGCGATTGCCGCTAATTCGTTCTTCCGGTCTGCGTTGGGGGCTGGATTCCCCCTGTTTGCCAACCCTATGGTAAGTTCTCTGTCCTCGATCTACCGAGAGGCGAGCTGACGACGGCTAGTTCC